CCTAGGTTGGTTTATGCCCTGGGACAACATCCTGGCCCATGGGCCCAATAGAGAGAAGGACCCAGAAGAATTGGAGTATACATCAAGGAAGCTGGCGTCTAGCACTTTGATTTGGTGCACTTGGTTAGTTCAATATCGTCCTTGATCGTGGACCGCATTCCTTCGGGCTCCCCGGCAGCTAGAGATTTTTTGAGTTCCTTGGATGCCAGAGCGCATGTGGCCTGCTCGGTCTTAAGAGATCACTCCGCGTCGCCAGATATGCTTACGACACCATTCGGGACTGACATCTTAAGCTTCAGATAAGTGTAATGCAAGGACCACACTGTATCGTGCAAATGCGGTTCGACCAATGACAAGGAAGTGGTGGCCACTTTTGAAAGATACTACTACCTCGAAGTTCAACGACCCAAATTGGAAGTTGTCCGGTGTATCGAACACCACGTCCAGCGTGACCATTTCTAGTGGTGAAGCTTCCATGCCAGGGATTATGCCCTTGAACCTTTTTTTGGCCGACTCTATGCAGGACTGGTCGACTTACATCTTCCGCAATGTATCAGCATATATCAAGTTCAGGTTGCTTCCACCATCCTTCAGGACCATATTTTGGTTATATCCTTCAATAATTGGGTCCACGACAATGGCGGCTTTTCCGTCGTGATGCACGATGGTCGGATGATCGCGTTGATTGAAAGAGATCGGTTGCTTAGACCTTGTGGAACCGCAGGATCTGCGGTGTAGACCTCGCGTAGAGCGCGCTTTCTATCCCTCCTCTTCTTGTTACATGGATAAATCATGTTCACGTTCTTTATCTGGAGGTGAAGTTGCCCACACCGGTGCGAGGCTCAGCCTCATCACCATTGGGTGGATTCTTCTTTTCAGTGTTGCCTTTTCTGGCCTGCTTGGCCATATTCTTGTAAATCCAACAATTTCGGTTTGTGTGGTTGGTTGGGGGGTCCCAGTGTTCAGGGGCCGATGATAGTCACAAGGCCTATCCATGACCTTGTCAAAGCCCGGAATGCTATCATCACCCTTCTTGCCCTTCATTGCTTCCTCTTCAGACCGCCGTCTTCGCCTTGTGTGTCCAAACCGACATTGACCCGGTCATCGTTGTCCTTGTTCCTGCGCTTATTCTTGGGTTCGGCTCAGCTGCAGGGCTCCCTGCACGAATTATTATGCAGGGCCAATAAGAAATCGCCATGTGTCCTTGTGGGCCAACTACCTTAAATTAAGTTATTAGATTAGATTATTCTGTTACGGCCTTGTTCATCTTGTAGCTTGGGTTCGTCCTCGCCGGGCCTGTAGCTGGGCGTTATTCTTCTCCCTGGTACGATGTGCCCGTCGTCACCGGCGTCTCCTATTTATTGTGTGGTCATCATTATCTCATGTCCCATGCCGCCGGCGGTGCCTCCTCTGCTCCGCTTCAGCATTGCCGGATCGCTTCACCATCGTCCACCCGTTTTTCATAGCACGGTCGCCGCATATGTTTTCTTTACTGTTGCGCTCAGCTCGCCTCAAGATTTTGCATGTCTGATTGCGAGATCAATTAAAGCCTGCACGCCAAAGGAATTGAGTCAAAGCAAACTAAATTGAGAGATTGAAACTGTCTTTTTCAAGTACGGAGAAGAGAAGCGCCGCCGTGTTGGTCTCTCGCTCCGGCGAGATTCAGTTGTGCTCTTGGGCTTCCACGAGACCACAACATCAGAAGTCCCTCCGTGTAGACGGGACCTCGGCTCTCTAGATCGAGACTCCAAATACTTCAAAACCAAGGAACGGAAGAACTGCAACGAGTGCTCTTGGCGGCATCGGCGACGTGCTCCTAATCGTGTCCGCCCTCCTTCTCTGTTGCTGCGGCGGCCGGCGGACATTGCAGAAATCGTCCTTGCTACTTGCTAGCAACCATTCTTGTGTGAAGCCATTCAGTAAATCAGTTCTCCTTTTGCGTAGGCCAGGCGAGGAAGGACCAGCGAAGACGAATATTTAGACCATAACAGAATAATCTAACTTAATTGGGGGTGGTTGGCCCACAAAGACACATGGCGATCTCTTATTAGCCCTGCACAATAATTCGTGCAGGGAGCCCTGCAGCTGAGCCGAACCCCTTATTCTTGCAGTTGCGTTTAGATTTTCCACGCTCGTCCTTTGTACCAGACGCGCCAGGGTTACCATCGTGCGCCTTCTGCTTGGCAAATCATGCATCCTCTCGTAATAGAACCTTTGAACAATCTCCATTAGAGTCGGCATGGTCTTGGGCTTATAATACTCGAAGTCTATGGTGAGGAACTCATCGGAAACGCCATGCTTGAACGCAGTGATGGCCTCCGCGTCTTTGGAGTCGACAATCTCATCCTTTTTCTTCAAGAAACATGTCCAGTAATCGTGCACCATTTCATTCTCTCCTTGGGCCAGATTTCCAAGGTCGCTGGCATCAGCAAGCCGGATATACATGCCCTTGAAGTTAGCGATGAATTTGTCTTGTAAATCATCCCTGTCGGCGATCTACCTGGGCGTGAGGGTGTTCAACCAGGCCCGGCGGATGCCTTCAGCATCAGGGGTAAATGCTTGATGGTGTGCCAGTCATTGTCGTCAGCCGCCTGGACTGCGATAGTGTAGTTTGTTATCCAAATCTCCGGGTCCTGACTTCGATCATACTTGTCCACCGCATTTCGCTAGAAATTTGGTGGAAAAGTGTGGGCGACAATTTCATCAGTGAAGCAGGCCGAATACGTCGTGGAGTGACCTGCTTCCCCAGAGTGGATGACATTTATAGTGTTACGTGCATCATCCAGGCCGACTTGACGGTCATACTCACTGGAGAGTAGTAGGTCTCTATCTCAAGCTTGCCATTGCAGTTGAGGTGCATACTGCATCTCGGTTTCCTCGAAGGGTGGGCCACACAGCACATTGGACCGTGGGACTGGCCCTCGGGTCTTCTTAGGCTGATGTCCGAGGAGCCTCGTCATAGGGCTCGGCCCACGGTATTCCTTGGTACGACTGCTCGGTGTATGAGTTCGTCGGCTGGCTGAACCACCAACATCGCCGGTCGTTCCGGCGTGGCTCTTGGACACAGCGTCTGACGTGAGCTTCTTGATGGTGTCGTCGGTGCCTGGGATCGGTGTGTTTATTGCGGCATCGTCCGAATCCTCCTCTTCCTCAACTTCGTCTCCCGTGTCGGCGGCCGCCGCATTGTCGTGTCTATCCACCATGTAGAATACATTGATTTTGCCTGCCACGGGTGAAGTGGTGCAGATGGCAGGATCGCCTCCGGGCAACTGTTGTCCGAGTTGCCCATCTCTTCATTGAGATCTTTGAGCTCCTCGTTATCACCGGGTTCCTCGAGGACGTCATGGAGCGTGTCGACATTGGCAATGATGTGGGAGGTGGGTGGTTGAAGAAGACTGATGGCCGCTCCTAGGCCCGACCAGATACTAGGCCGTGGAGGACGAGCTTGCTGTGGGACTCGGCGACAAACTCGAGGTTGCCGATGTGGACGATCCGGCTTGCAGCGAAGGTCTTGACGAGCTCAAGGTAGCCCCGCCGAATCGGTGACGTAACACATCGCATCGAAAGCAAAGATCGTTCCCGGCGTGATGACATCGGCACTGATTGAAGATCCCATCTAGTGTTTGAGTTCGCCTAGCATATCCCATGCCTGGCGTGCCACTGTTAGAGTGATTTGTGGCAGATCCTCGATAGGGTATGTCGGCTAGACGATTAGATATGAGGGGAAACTGATGGCGGTTTACCTAGGTTCAGTCCATCGGGATCGAGGTAAAACCCTATTTCATGCTCGTGTTATATTGATCAAGGGACTGAGAATAATCTCTAGATTCTCCCTATCGACTAGCCTGGCCCTAACTTATATAGGATACCGGAGCCTAGGGTTTACAGGATCCTAGTTGGTTAGTATCGGGGGAGTAGTCCTCCTTCACGCCAGCTTCCTTGTTGTATACTCCAACTCTCCAAGTCTTCTAGGTCCTTCTCTCTATTGGGCCCATAGGCCGGGACGTTGGCCCATGGCATAAACCGACTAGGGGGCCACGGGCTGGCCTATTTGGGCCGGTTTCCGGTATGATAAGGCACCCCTGGGCCGTAACACCGTCAGGCATCAAGGCCGCTGAGATCAAGCTGGTTGAGGCCAAGGAAATCAAGGCCCGTCATGTGATCTGTACATGGGCCGGCCGATTCTCTTACCGAAGTGTTTAAAAGGACCTCCTCCAAATCTTTGTGATTTGTCACTATCAGATCATTCTCCTTAAGATGACTGATGAAGTTTTTCCTCCTGTCGCTGGCGTCTATGTGAAAATAGGAGGTGTTAGTCTCCCCAAGATTAAGCCAGGTAAGCCCCGGGCGTTGTCTGGCCATACATCTCTCAATCAAGCAAAACCCAAGAAGCTTTTTTTGCGGGTCAAGAAGTTTCTTCTTAATGTCCCGTCTAAGCCAGCTCTCCGTGAAGGATAAAGGTTCTGATTTCTTCAGTCTGATCGAACAGGCTAATAATTGTTTTGGCCCAAACAGGTTGTTCTTTTATCCCTTCAAAGCTCTTCAAACTCCAGCTTTGTAAGGCCCTTGTGTTTGTGAGTTTGCAGTTGAAGCGGATGAAGGGGTTGACATTTTTCCGAAAATGGGTTAACCCTGGCCTCTGCATCATTGTGATGCATACAACCATCTTTATTAAAATATAGCAAATATTCAAAGCAGTCAAAACAAACAATAAAGATCAAGACCACAACCGGTCAGTAATAAGATTACCACATGACTCGAACACATAACCTGCTATAAATGGAACTAAGAAATGCTTTTGCCCATAGGCATACATGACTCTGTGCACCTGCTATATTGTACAGTGAATCATTTAAATGATGTTAGTAATGATCAAAACTATTTGTAAGAATGTCAAAATGTCCTTCGTCTTCACATCTTCAGTCGGAAGCCGTCATGTGCAATGGAGCACTTATATCTCTATGAGTTGTCTGGTTAGGTTGGTTTGTGCTATATATATTTTAAATCTGAAGAAAGAATATGTGGTCACCATCTCGGATGACACCAATGTCATCTATTTCAGCGTGATCTCTACTGACCACTTTCGTCGGATGGAAATCTGGGAACTTCTGTCCTGCATAGCGAAGAAATATTTGATGAGAGAAGTGCATGTTACAGTATCTAATTTACTACTAGAAAGTGCGGTGTATGTCTGGTCTCTGCTATAACATGAATCAAAATTAGTCACATGCTAAAGACATTTTCACTTACTGCCAATTTTGATAAGTTCCTCCAGCGAACCAGGCAGGTTGATAAGCTTCCCATTCTGTACCGTAGAACCTGTTGCATTATGAGGATATATATGAATTGTAACTCTTTTATTGGCTGCTTTTATGCCACTATAATCTTGATATCTGCTCCTTGATATGTTTTCGGATGCCCTGTGTGGAGAACCCGGCTGCATTTTCGTAAGTATTGTTTGCTGACTGCTTGCTGTGGTCTTGTCTTCAGATTTTATTTTAATACAGAACTCTTCAGCGCTTGTTTTGGTCTCACAATTTATGCGAACCTCGTTGAGATCCTCTTCTCTGTTCATCATTCCATCTGATAATCTATACTTGCAGTTCGACTTGTTATGGATGTCTTCTTGCTGTGGCACTTGTCTGAGTAACTTCATTGAATCAGGACCATCTCCAGATATTGGAACCTTGCTACCAAGATCTATACTTTTCTGTTCTGTATAATGTTGGTGTGGCCATTGTAGCATCTGTTCTTCTCGAGGTATATGAAATAGGTCATACTTGCTCAAGAATCTTCGGTCTGGTTGGTTCACTTCAGGTAAATTTTCCGGTAGCTTCAGTTTCTGTACATTGGCACAAAAAGTTGTTAGCTTCTCTTTAGACGAATTTAAGTCTTAATTTGTTTGACTGTGTTCCAAAATTGAAGCTATACCTGCAATAGATTGTTCATTAGGATGTCATTGTCTTCTCTGTGATTTTGAATGGCCTCTCTGAGTCTTGTCCTGCTGATTCTCAGTAGTTGTGACAGTTCAGCTGTGCGGAAAGTAAATGGCTGGGGTATGTTACATAGAGCACCAACCTCTCCAAACATATCACCATTCGTAACTTTTGCATATACCTGCTTTCAAGAAATTCATATTATTTTAGTAATGAAAATAATCTATGGTAAATCTGAGCGATATCTGAGAGTCTCTGCATTGTAGCTGAAGAAATTATACCTGCTCGTTCCCATTTATGGTTGTTATCATATTCTACAAAAAATCAGATAGTGCTGGGAATTAGCTTAATGGTACGAACTTGCACAAGCTTTGATTCATAACTTACAGAGATAACAAACTAACCACTGCTCCTGAAACTATTAGGTAAATATCAGCTGCCCCTTCATTCTGCAATATGATATCTTCCTTTGGTGGAAAATACTCAGGCTGCACTTCCATGACCTATATTATCTAACATATCCAATTAGTACATATATTAGCAGTTCTCCCAAGATAGTTATAAAAACATTGAATAGTTAACTATATTACCAGTTCTGCAATGAAACTGTTGGATACTCCATGGAAGAGATAGGCCCGTCGCAAGATTGGGAAGAATAAGCTGTATGCTATGCTTGAACGGATTCCTTTTGGGAGACCATTTAACATGGTCTTCTGGTTATAGCCTTCTGTCTTGAACTGTAGGCAGAAGTGAGAGAGCATTTGCTCCTTTATGCTCACAGGCAGCTGATTTCGTGCCGCGAACTCTGAAGCTGCATATATGGAGTCCCTCTGCATCATTTAAATAGAAGATATCAATAGGACTATAGGCATGGAAGAAGAATGACGGTAACTATTTTATTGATGTTGTCGATTGTGCAAGACCTTGATTCATGTTGTTTTCTCCGTTTTCTTGTTGCCTAAAATTGTTGAGTGGCTAGGGGATACAAGAACTTGGTACCTTGTGCCATCCATGCAAGAATAGGATTCTAATGCCTAAAATTTCTGAGTGGCTAGGGGATACATTTCATTTTCCAAGCATGTCGTATATAATAAAAGTGCTACCTTTCTCAAGATCTTCACAACTTTAATTGTATGGATCCAAATACAGCCTATTTCTGTTCCTATTTCATTTTCCAAGCATGTCGTATAATAAAAGTGCTACATTGAATGCTCTGTGAGTAAGTTGAGAAACATACAAATTTCTGGGTGCGGCTGGTGCCATGAACAACCAGGTTGGTCATATTGCCGATGAGGTAAGCCGTTAAACCCAGATTAAAGAGCATATAGAAAATATCAAAGAGCATCTCCCTTGGGTTCTCAGCATGCAAGTCCCCATAGCCTGTTGTTGTCAGCGTCGTAATGGACCAGTACAGAGCAGTAACATATCTAGTCCATAAGCTCTGTGATCTGAATGCAGGCATCACGGCACCAATCCATGTATTCTCTGGGTAGGGGTATCTGTCAGCAAGCATATAGTTGAAGCATCCCGCGCAATGCACCGCAAAGAGGGTGACCTGCATTTGATCGTTACGTATTTTATAGTCAGCGATATTTTGTTCTCCTGGGAATATACTCCCTCCGTAAAGAAATATATAAGAGTGTTTAAATAACTTCTTTGGTGATCTAAACACTCTTATATTTCTTTACAGAGGGAGTAATGATTAATATTCTGCATGGTTGAAACTTTTGAAGGTAACGGTAAAAATCATACGTAGTAATATTTCTGGAAGACTTACAGAAATAAGCTTTGAGCACCTAGTCCAGAAATAGTTGAATCGGATATCCTTCTCCAGCCTGGTTAAAAGTAGATGATCAAATTTGTGCCATTTTTCATTCATCATTGAAACATGAAGAATATGAAGATGTTGTTAACCTGGCAAACAGCGTGCTGACTCGGTTAAGACGCCACAACCTAAGCAGATTGAGTACCTTAAAGGAAAGGTCATTTCCCTTGTGTGTAAACAGAAGGATGATGGGTTGAAATGGTGCTGTTGAACATACATCAAATATGAACCAAGTCGATAGATATCTGCAGAGGATCAGATCATATTTTTTTAATGTCAGGACAGAATCACCTGGGCCTTTTTCAGCTCTAAATGTGGGGTCATTAAGGTGAAACAAATTATGAACCAGGTGCGAACCTTACTGCGATTCTCTTTTGATCGTCCACAAGAAGATGTGTTTTACTGTCAACATAAGCTACAAAGAATGTCATAACAATATCAATGGCAAAGAAGCCATTGACAATGTTCTCAACTAGCACAAGCTTAGACGGCAAGTTCCTCAAGAATGCCAGTTCAAACGGGCAAACCCAGGCGGAATAAACAACTAGGACTATGAGGAACAGCTCCCAGAATCTGAGAGAGAGACACAGAAAAAAGCAGAGGAAACCATGTCAGCTGCTGCTGTTCTCTTCTTCTTGCAACATGGAAGGTACGGAGGGTGCAGGCCATGTGAACCTCACCTGTAGCGGGGATCGTAGGGCGATATGATGAACTTCTTCAGCTTATTGGAGTGGTTTATGGTTGCGCCAAGCGACGGCAGTAGCTCGATGGCGAAGCTGTCGCTGCTCCCGTTTATGTGAAGCCCATCCCAGAATTGGTGGAAGTGAGATTTTGAATGAGCTTGAGTCATGCTTGCCTTTGCTATTCTTTGCTACTCGACTCTATATGCAGAAGGTGTGGAGGATGGCACCT